TAAACTGCCAACACAATGCTACAAGCGATGCGGTGCGGTGCGGGGGAGAGCAACCCCGAAATCAAAGATTATGTCCTCAGCTTGATAAACGAGATGCTCCCACCGAACAACATTCTGTTGTTGTGGCATTAACACCTCAGCGGATCCCAAAACAAATTGGGGTTCATTGAAGGGGCACAGAGACATCATCATCAAAGTCAGGCAACTAATTTGCAATTGTTTTAGTTGGTAATTAGGCTGTTGGCAGACACTGAGGTAGCGGGAGAAGTTGGACAAATCAAAACCGAAAAAAAATAAAAGAATTACAAACAAATCTGCACCCAAGATAATTTTAAAAATTTGATGAGACTTTGATGTGCCAAAAATAATTGCATGCAAATTTATTTTAATGCATATTTACCCGCGTAATTGCTGCAAATTTACGTTTCATTTAATCGCTATTGTAGGAGGGACCAGTGGACCAGTAGATCCCAAAACAGACCAAAGCACAACACGAAAAATTAAGCGAAAAATTGAATTGTCGAAGCGGGAAGTACCCTAGGATCATGCTGAAACAAAAGAAAAAGGCATGAAGCGAAGCACCATATAGACTTTATTTTTTAATGTTAGTCCACAAATAAAGGCACATATTTTTATGTTGGATTAATCGCCAATTGGTTTACAAAGCAAAATCTGTCTCTCTACCTTTTCCACTGTGACAAATGGCACCACAAAACGCATATACCCTTAGCTGCTGCTTGGGGTCCTCTGGGCAGTCAAATGGCGACCGTGAAAAAGCGGCAAACAGATTATAACTCCCAACTGACATTTGGGGACTTTATTATTTGGCCATTGAAAAATGCGAGACTATCCGCGGGTTGGGGTTGGCTGGTGCTGGTGGTTGCTGGTTTCTGGTAGAACGGTGGTTCGAGGGGTACCAAAGTGGATTTTAATTTTTCAAAGTTAAACAGCGTCGTCGACCCTTTTTTTTTGAGCCTGCCCGCTTGACTGGACACGATGGAGGGAGGACTCTGGATGCTGAATGGCGGTTGGTGGATGGCGGACAGTGGACTCGCCCCGGACCAGGGCCATGTTTGTATAAATGTCGACGGGATTTGGCCATGCAGCGTTTTATTGTTCACCTTTTCGACTGCGACTGATTGATCCCTTGGGTGGGTCGGCACGCCCGATACTGTTGGCGTTTTGGGACTGGGGCGGAGTATAGGACTGGGCCTGTGTGTAATTAATTTTGCTTTTCGCTTTTTGATTTGTGATTTGTGCATGGCAAAGAGCGGGCGAAAAACCATCAAATTGTCACGTAATTATATTTACGTTAATGATGTTTCGACCCGGCGCGGCACGACCATCGGAAAAGTCAATTAATATTTTGGTGAATGAACAACAATTTAGATTGTTGTGTCGCTGGCGGACTTTAATTAAAATGCTTTGGCCACAATTTGAATGCATGCTGGGATTTTTAATTTTCATTGATGTCGTGACACTCGCTTTTTAGTCTTTCTGTCTGTCTGTCCCTATCCTTCATTATTTCTTTTCTTGGCGTGGCACGCGACTTTAAGATTTCCAGATTTGTCCGATAAACGGCTACCAAATTGACCATTAAATTATATGTTAAAGCCGTAAGTGGTGGCTAATCGTTTTTATAACTGAAGCAAAAACTTGTTTATTTGCATTTGCCAGTGTTCGAGCGACTACTGGGCAAGCAATTAAATGCAAATTTTCAGAACTTGCTCGAGAGATTATGACGACAGCGTTACGGTAATCAGAATAACTGGGGAATCGGTCTCCCCGTGCTTGTTCCAATGAACATGACTGACTCATGGTTGCATTGTTGCACGTGGGAATTGAAGATGTTCAGGAGAGCCCATTCAAAGCTCATATTAAATTAAATTAACAAAACTACAAGCATTTTGCCATAAATGACCAGGAGCGTTTGCCATATTAGAATTCCTGAACTAATCTCGAGGGAATAATTTCATTTTGGAGCATGTCAGTGGCAGACATGCAGCCATTTAATGGCATTACGCATTTTCAATTTCAAAGTGCTACGGCATTCTTCGGACTTGTTCGAGCTGCTGCTGCTGCTGCTGCTGCTGCTACGACGACTGTCCGCTGATATTGTACCTATGTATTATTCGTATGTACCTATGTACATTACATATGCGGACGTGCTGAACCCATTCACACTCGGTCGAACGCGGCAGACGACGAACCTGATAGCCAGCCTGCCTGCTGCCTCACGTGCTGCATATTCATGTCAGGGCTGGGCTCGACTTGACTTAACTTGAGTGGAGTGCCAGTGCCGCCCGTCATTGGAGGTGGGTTGAAAACTACCTGCTGATGATGGTACATTGCTTCAGTATGAATTACTATTAATGGCGTGCAGTATAAATTGAATTTCATTACATGACGACGTCAATTAAAAGCATGTAAAACTCAATCGGCAGTGACGTTTTTAAAATGCAGCCAAGCCATCAGCCATCCATCCGAGACAGGGCCCGGACCGGAGCCCGAGTCAGAGCCAAAACCTGGGCCAGCAGCGTGGCCCCAGGGAGAGGCAGGCAGATGGCAGCGGACAAACAGGAGAAGAGCATTGACGTTGGCTTAATGAGTCGGCAAATGGCTGATAAAAATGCACAGTGAATATGAAAATCGCTGGCGCTGACACTCGTGACGTTGTGACGTGGCGCAAAGTTCTCGAAACTGACAGGAAACATTGATAAAAGTGCCAACTGACATTGCGTAATGATGATGCGACGGGCTCTCGCACTCCCTCTCTCTGGCCCCCGCCTTAATAGCCAGCTCATTAAACCAACCAGGCTGGTTGACGTTCTCGCAAAAAAAAGATGAGATATCATATAAAAAAAAAATAAGATTCAACATATATCATGCATATAGCGAAAGTTTTTTAATCAAACTTACTGCCTGCCATATCTCACATTCGAAATATTAAAAATCTAATTAAAACTTAAACAGAAATGTATTATTTTATGCAGCACACACACATACAGACATATGCATGTATTTTTGCTGTAAAAATTCGTTTAAGCTGAAAGCCCATTAACAATTATGACTTTCCTTTGCCGCCGAAGTAGTTGAAACTTAAAAGGAAGAGCGCGCGCGAGCTGCCATTGACGCAGGCCTTCCGTCTCGCTGCTCCCTCTCTGCCCCGCTGCCTTCCCCTCTCTCAGCTTTGTTATAAGTCGTCGACAGTTTTGTACGGCTGCCGCCCAGCTACCCTTATCCCCCCGACGCGTAGCAACGCTTATGCAACAGCAACAGAGGAAAGGAGAAGCTGCAGCGAAGGCGATGGCGATGGCGATGGCGACGACGGAGACGCTTTGACTTTGCTTCATTTTCAGTTTTACTTTTTAAAGTTTTTAATTCCTTGCATCTTAATGACTTCTCGTAATAAGTTTTCATTTCTCATAATTTCTTGGGTTAATAGAATCTTTGCCGGCGCTTTATGTGTATGGCTGCAGCAATGCTCCCCATGTAGAGCAACTGTATCTGAATTAACAGTGGGTTAGATTGGGGTACAGTCAGGCTGGAAGCAACAATTATGCAGCATATTAGCCAAGGATGTTCAGGTGACAACTGGGCACAGAGTTAGTTTACTCTGATTGACACGAAGCGGGAATGGGTTCATGAACTATAATTTTCTGAGAAAAACTAAAGTTGTGCCACGGGTCAGTACACTCGTGATCGAGTTGATAAAGTTTTGGCAGCTGGAAACGGAAATCTCAGAGTGAAAATACTATGAATTCCCCAAACATTCATGTACAGTCATGCAATCATCTCCAAGTTAACAAATAATCATATAAACAAACTTATTGGACACCAAATCAATATACAGAAACTTCATACATACACTTGGGCAACAACTTCTTCTATCCACTGTGCTCCAAGCTGCTCATAGAAAACTTTTGTCGAAAAAAATATAAGAAAATAACAGAAAACTATAATTATGAAGTTGACACAAAGTCAGCCAGTGGAGCGGCAGCAGTAGCAGAAAAAGAGGCAGCAACAGCCAGTAAAAACGCAGACGACAATAATGACTGGGAGGACATTTGGCCAAGATGAGAGAGCGGAATTGGATAGGAGGCAGGGCAGGGAAATGGGACGTTGGCAGCCATGAATTCTATCAGAGAGGAAGCGAAGCACTAGAAATGCATAAAAGTCGGACTACATAAAGCGCAGCAGGACCACAGCTGACATTTATGTGGAATGTCAGTGCGGGCTTAGAGCAAACTTACCAAGACAGGGGCGTTCAAGCCGCGACAGGAAAAAGAGCGAAGAGCCGTCTTAGAAGTGGGCCCAGACCCAGTCCTCGAGCTGAGTTGAGCACTTGGCTTCTCGCTGCGGCGGTTGTGGCTAATCATAAATTCAAAAGCGGCAAAAGTGCAACAGTAGTAACAATTAACTTATTAAATGGGCTTTGAGAACGAGGGTGAGGGTGAGGACTATGCAGAGCCAAAGGAACACAATGTCCCCCGCCTGGGGAAAGCGCTCTAGCTGACAAAGGATATGAGCATGGAAATTGTGGAAATGAAACCGAACGAGCCGTGAAGATGCCTCCCAGCAGCAGGAGGAACAGGAGTAGCATGAAAAAAAGTGAGCAGCATTGGCAGGGAATGAAACAAGGGAACATTTCCTCATGCATTGCACCTTCCTGCTCGCTTTTCCCCAGCTTCCTGCTTCGCCAGGGTAATTCATTTTACTGTGGCAGAACAGCGAGGGGACCCGACCACCCCATAGTATCTCTCTGATTACTTGAGACGTTTGCTAATTAGCGAAATTGATTTGAATTTTATGGCGCGAAAAATTGCCTCGACTGAATGATATGCGGGGGAGGGAGCGCGGCTCTAATTGAAACTAAATGCCGTGCATTAAATTCACTCGAAGCTGTTAAAAATCAAACTGTTTTGGCTAGCGGAAGGAGCCAGCGAATACTTCAGCAAATATCTCAACACTTCTACCATTTCTCGCCACTCTCTTTGCAGCTGTTGTGACATTTTTTTGGCAAAGCAAAACGCAATGGCGCCAAAGATGCCACCATTTTCGCAGCTCGACAAAATGGCGACAAGGACATCCAGTTGGGTCTGCCGCCTGCTGCTCGTCAGCCTCTGCATTGGCGCCGCTGCCGCACGAGGTAAATATCCATAAACATTTATATAAATTCATTCGATTCCCCACCGCCATAAAGTACCCCACACCCGACCCAGACCACACTCATAGACAGCTCTTACGGGTTTCAAAAAAATATATGTGCACACACACCTACTCGTATGTGGAGTGTTGTGGGTGTATCTGTGTTTGTAGCAGCCACTGCACCTGCGGCCTTTGGCTCTGCAAAAACTAATTATGTATCTGTCAAAATCGAACGAGCACCACAAAAACATTGCTATCCATTTCTCTCTCAGTGTCCACATCCTCCAGCGCATATATATTATCAATTAATATAATGGTTCACTTTAAAAATTCAATTAAATTAATATTTTGTGTGGGCTAAAAAAAAGAAACGCAAAGTGGTACACAATTGGGGTGTGTGGCAAAAGAGCAGCGATTGAAAAAACTAGGTTTAATACGGGAAATAGATTTACAAGAATTAAAAACATTTCGCATAGAGAAGCATTTCGTCAGAAGCAGCAATTTAAAAATCGACTTTAAATATACAATGTTCAAAGTTAATTCGAGACAGCAGCTCAATCGCATAAAACATGTCAAACCCAAAAGAATGGAAAGCTGCGAAATGTAAAAAAATAAAATCGAGTGGGATAACTGACGGACAGCGGCAGACAAACACGTCGCTGACTAAGTTGAACAATTTAAATATCAGTTACAAAATCACACACAAACAATGTCACACCGAGCATTGATGCCACAGACTCTGTCCCTCTGCCCCGAGAGTGTGGTGCATGTGATAGCCAACAACAAAATCCTCCATTGAACCACGCCATACAACCGCGACAAACCCAAAGGGGAGCAGAGGCAGAAAGGAGCGAGATACATTTATCAAAAATAGTATTTCAGTTGGCGTTTGAAAAAATGCAATTGCATTCGATGGGGCAAGGAAAGTAGGGGGGAAAACGAAACGTGATGGCCATAGAGGGTTTAAGGATCAGAATGTGGATGGACGAGGACGAGGACGTAGGAAGAGGCGCGAGCAATCATGCAATCATTTTATTGCAATATTGCGACAATTTTTATTAAAATTTTTAGAATTTTCAATTTATTTAGCACTCGGGCATGGTCCTGATGCTGCTGCTGCTGCTGCTGCTGCTATTGCTGCTGATGCTACTCTCAGAGGCAACATTTTGCTCTTTGATTTGTTGCAGTTGCGTGAAATTGGTCAGCAGATATTGGCCAGACCACGGACGGAATCTGTACGTGATTTGATTTCTCTTTACATACAAAACTCTTTCCGTTTAGTCAGCAATATCAAAGAATTTCAACAATGTTGAGAATTCGAAGGATGCAGAGCATTTTGTTGCACATTTTATGCACATTTAAAGGTTTAAGTTGGAAGTGAATTCAAGATCGATTGACTAGTAATATAATTTAAATTGAACGAATGGGACCGTTCTGGGTATCTATCTTTCCCCATTAAAATATTAGCAACCTTTACCCGCAGTGTATGTCCTTTCCTGTTTATCGGCCAGACAGGAAACCATTTCAGAACACCAAACAAGGCGTGGCGCATGGAAAAGCCCAGCGAAAGAAAAAAGAAATGGCAACGGAAAGGAAAAAATGTTAACCTAGGCCCTGACCCAATGGCTGCTCCCTTTGCAGGTTGCTGGCTTGGTTGGTTGGTTGGTTGGTCTGTCAACACGCTGATAAGTCTGGCTGCCATTCCCAGTTGGCCTGCATCCTGGGCTCAGTCCTGCCCATTCCCTGTCCTGCACTATGTTTCACCGTCTCTGTTCTGACTTGGCTTGCTGCTGTTGACCGAGGCAAATGCTAATTTTATTATGACAAATGCGCAGTCAGGTAAAATGGTAGCAGAAACCTTTGGTTTTCGTTTTTCACCTTGCAATCACAAGTCTAGACAGCCCCAAAACTCACTCCGTGGCCGAATGCAAACTAATTTATAACAAACGCTAATCTAACAACAATCTGTAAGTGCTTCCAGTCATTGGTTCGTTAAACTTGACTTTATAAACGATGCTTCCCCACTTATCCCCACTTGTCCCGACAATCAAGAATCAAGCTACCGTCTTACCTACAACAGCGTATAACTCACGCCCCAGATGGTCGCACTAATTGAAAATGATCACCTGGCTTCCCGTGCCAATTACCTGGAGCAGCCATTAGCCCAGCAGCCTAAGCTTAACCTAAGTAGACATTTTGTTGAACAACACCGACCCGCCCCCAGGGGCAGTCTCCAGAAGAGACTCCCAGCAACAAATTGCCACTGAATGAAGATCTTGCAGCCAGTAGAGCTTGCATCTAGGTATCTGCGCCTGCGTGCAGTCTCTCCATCCGCACCTGGCTCTCCCTCTCCACCACAGATGTCAGCTCTAATCTAAATAAGCGATTTGTCTGTGCATAACTTCTGCCTTGACCAGCTCGCCGGACACAGCAACAGGATGAGGCTAGCATGGTCGTGGTGGTCGTGGTTTTAGATACTCTTTCAGCTATGAAAGATATCTCTTTCCATGAAAGAGTATAGTCCCGTCTGTTAGGGACACAAAAACAAACATCAACTGCAACCCAAGTCGCTTGTGCAGCTGAAAGTTAAATAATAATTTGTATAATTTATAGGTGGAACTCTTTTTGGTGGAAGGAATTTACAAGCAGATAGCTCCTTATGGCCTGGCCAGCATATTTATCGGGTTGAGTTGGGCGTGGAATGTCTCCAGCGAGGACTCGAGCATAAATAATTAACACGTGCATAGTTTGAATTGCAGTTTGTATCTGGTTGCCAGCATTTTTATGGCAAACTGTTGACTCTTTGATTGCTGAGAGTTGAAACTGGAGAGGCTTGGAGACTCTATTCTCATCTCAAGCACTTCCGGAGTGTGCTCGAGTCTGAGATGAATCTTTTGTCTTTCACGCACACACTGGAATGGGAATGGGAATGGGAATGGCGGGGAATTTCTTAGGAAGTTTAACCTGTCCGGTCCGGGCTGTCCGTCTGTCCCATTGTCTGGGCCTGTTTAGGCATTTGCTTTGTAATTGTTAAATTGCTTATTCATGGCTTTGTTTTTCTGCTAAATGAATGTTAATGACCTCGGCGAGTGCTATAAATATTTGATGGGGCCAAAGTGTTGACCGAGAGCTTTCCAAACTCAAATTGAACTTCTGCTCTGCCCAGCTACAAGGCGTGGGCACAATTAGCATGCCAATTGGGATATTGGAAATTGTTGCATTGCACACTGATATTTTGGGATACCCAAATGAATCTGAATGTGCAGCTTTATTCGTCACTGGACATGCGAGCATCTGGCAGATAAGTGGAAGCCAGCAAATATGTGGCCAGTGCTTTGGCTGGAATTTAATTATTATTCCTCGACCGAACTAAGGCCATACAAAAGTTTTGTCTGCCATAACCATAACCAGTACAGTATGCACACCAATGGACAAGAATCCAGCAACGAATCAAGTGACGCCTGCTGTGGTAATTCCATTTGAATCTCCTCTCCCCTGGCTGACTGTTCAAAGAAGTTCAACTCATTGTCAGTTATTAATTTAACAAATGATTATATGCAGATACGTAATTTGGCCTGCTCCCCACCCGCTCCTCCTTTGGCAACAGTTGGCGCATAAACCAGACCACATGTACTGGGGATTGTTTGACCAAAACTAGCCAGAGTTTAGTCAGATTGGTTAGGGTTTGCAAGGAAGTCGTCTGCAATGCAAAATTAGATGAGTTTTAGGTTCCTATTCTGACTATCAACTATCGATCCAAGAGACAATGGAAACATCCCACATTAGAGACTCCTTAACGAGTACTGGACGCTGCCTTTAAAGCCTTTTGCCCCACTGGTTTCCTTGTAGATGTTTCAATCACACTGGTTTCCTTGTAGATGTTGTAATTGTTATTATTCCTCTGGTATTGTTCAAGCTTAATTGAAAATATTGTGAATGTACCGCAGCAGTGCATGTAGCAATGCCTCGACTGGACTGGACTGGGTGCTTCGGGTGTATATATTTTCTTTTGTTCGGGTGTATTTAGCAATAGCCGGGAGCATCTTTGTGCGCCACTCTCTAAATGAAATTAATTGAAGACCCCCGGCAAAACACATACTCTCACTCCCACTCCCACTCCCATTGCCACCAATTTGCAGGGAAAGTTTTGGCCCATACATATACATACATATGTAACTTTTTATGCGCCCAATGACTGGCGGCTATTGTTGCAGTCTTGCGGAGCCTTAGCCAAACAGTTAAGGGGTAATAGAACTGCGCCTGCGGTTGGCCATGGCGTTCCATTTCGATACGATACAACAAAGGCTGGAGCTGGAGCTGCGACTGGCATGGTAAAGTTTTCTCTTCTCACATATGCTCGTGTCGGAGTCGGGCTTGGGGTCCTTTAAGGTACATTTATTGGAAATTTGTTTGAGTTGGTGCAAGTTGAGGGGAGTGCCGCAGCAATTCATTTACCATGCAAAAGTGTCAGCGACAAAAGGAAACCACTTTCTGAGGAAACTGTAACCTAGTTTAATGTCAGCCAAAGATTTCGCTTTTGATTCAATTTTGTTTCGAAATAAAGCCTAATCGAATTTTAGTTTTAATTTGTATGAGTTATGGAGAGGCTCACATTTCATCCCGCAGATCTTTAGTCAAACTTCAAACTTGTCAGACAATTCCAGACAAAACTAAACTAAATACCAAACAAGTCGAAAGTCTTCGGAGACAGACACTAGTGGGGCAGGCATTGACATACAATTTTATGTTGGATTTACGCTTTATAGAAGGAATATTTATATATGTATGCATGTTGGCTGCCAGCACGAAGGCTCTTCTAATGACATTAGCTTTCACGCAATGTGATTAACTGTCCTGGCAAATTGAGCAGCAAACAAAACATCAGGCTGCCCGACACACAATTCATTACACGACTCCTCCTGGCCCAGTCCTTGAGTCCCTGGCACTGTCCTTTCGAGGGTGGGGGCACAAACTACCTGCTAACACGCCATAATCCCATGCCAAGGACATAATATAAGCAGTCGGCAGGCAGAGTCAGGCAACTCCAATGATAATAATGCAGCCCCGAAAGAGGTCAACGCAAAATGAAGTAACTAAGCAAGTCACTGGCTGACCAACAGCACCACATACAGAGTGTGGGAATATCCACGAAGTTAAGTCCGGACTAAGGCGAGCACGTTCCAGTTTCGAGGCAGGAGGCTAAAGACTGACCTTCACCTTTATGGCTTTGTGCGAGAGTTGGGCTAAGAGGTCTTCCCACCTTCTGCCTCCCACGCCATCATCCACTAACTGTATAAAAGCCTTTGGCTCCGCCTTTTGCCACTGCTTTCATCATAATTTCAGTGAGCAGTGGAGCAGTAACAAAATGGCCAACATTGTCACAGCGCGTGTCCTTTTATGAGGCACATTGCTGCTGCCGCTGTAGTTGTATGTATATATGCAATTAAATTAAATATTAAACTTAATTACACCCAGGCAAACTAACACGCCAAGACAGAAGCACTAGAAGAACCAGGCACCAGCAGCAGCAGCAGCAGCACAAAGGAGTAAGACATCGCCAGCTCCTGGGTCTCTGTCAAATATGCCCAGCGCCAGGCCTCAATAATGCACCAAGGAATGTAGGAAATAATGAAAGTCAATTGTCAGTCAGGCCATCGCTAGATTTTTGCGTCTTTAGTCTTGGCTCTGGTGTCCTGGGCGTCCTCAGTGCTTAGTCTTTAGTCCCTTGGCTGCTTGGTTCTGGACAAAAGCCGTTGGCATAGGCAACGACATCGGCCCTAACCGTAATGACAATGTTGCTTTCATTTCGTGTTCTTGTGTTCTGCTAATTGAATTGAATTTAATGTAGTTTAATTGAGACGAACGTGATTGTAACTAAAAGCGTTTTATGCTTAATTTAACGGCATGACGGCAGGCTCTGCTGCCTGCCTCCTTCCAGCTACATGACACGATGAGTGCTGCTGCTTCTAAATAGTTAAAATTCAACTTAATTGCTACAAGTTAAAGGCAATTCCCATCGAGATGGTTCGAGTGATGTGGCAGACCGGAGCGGAGAGGACATTTAAATATTTAAGTTTTTCATGGCAGCTGTCAGCAAGTTTTCTAACAAGTTTATCTACCCCAGCCGCATCGGAATGAATAATGCAAAATGGTAATTGTGGCACACGCTGCGTATGAGTAATGACAGGCCAGTCCACGGCCAGTCCACCAATCGATGCCTTCAAGGACGTTACCAATATTAAAATCTGCTCAAGCGCAGCGCAGCGCGAAATTCAAATGCATCTGCCGCATCGCATTCGAAAGCAGTTTAGCTGAAGGAAAAATGAGTCCAAAAAGAAGGAACGGGAACATAAAGCCGGACAGATGCCAGAATTAGCGAAAGTTTCACTCATCTTTTTTTATTTTGTACTCGTTGCGACTGTCAGAATTACGAAGCAGGAGAAGCAGCAGCAATGGCTCGGAGCTGAAGCTGAAGCTGGAGCTGGAGCAGCTGTCATCTTAGAGAGAGAATGGCTAAAAACTGTCAGGCTGCATAATAAATTGAATTTCCTGTAGTTGGTCATTTTGCACCATGAAAATTCGGGGCAGGGCGGGGCGGGGTGAAACAGAATGACCTGGGCGTGGCAAATACATGCACTTGAAACTGAAATCCGGGCCGGACCGAGCCAACACGTACGTGGTAGAGCATGATGCAGCGGACTAAATGCCACCAGAGGCAAATGAAGTTACGGAGCTGCCAACCAGACGTTGGGGCAGCAGCTAAAAAATCCAAATATCCTATTTACAACTTGCCACTAGAGAGTGAGGGATGCGATTAAAGGATGCGACAACTGGAGCTTGCACAGGACAGATATCAAACTGCCAACTGACATTTGAATTTAACTTTTTTTTTGTAATGGCAATGGCAATCTTTACTGCATCATCTTTTGCCCTGACTCTCAGCTCAGACAAGGTAATTGAATCAAGTCACTAAAAGCGTTACAGGATAATGCGGATGGGAAGCAGAGGGAGAAGGAGATTAATCTTGATCAGCTACAAACAGGTTGTACACATATAGTTTTGTGTGTTCTTTTTTGCTTAAAAATGTCTTGTCTAACGTCGAACAATTTAAAAACAAAACCCCGCTGGCACTACTTTTGAGCAAATTCAACCACAAAATGCCTTCGGCTGCAGGAGGAGGTTTAAGAAGAGAAACTGAATCGAGCACAAAAAATATAATGACGAAACTTTTAATAACTAATTAAGCGACATTTGCCCTGCCTCCTCACAACAACAAAGCAGCCGACCCCGCCCCAAGCGCCAATGAGGAGTCCCCAGTTGGCATTTTGTGTGTCAGCGGCAGAGCCGAAAAACCTCGAAATAACTATTAAAAAAGTACAAGACACAGAAAACGAAACTTAATTACAGTTGGCCATTTAAGGAGATTTGGCAGCCACAGAACAGACCAGCACAGCAACATTTACAATTTATCAAATTAAAATTTAAGTATCGTCCCTCCCGCTACCGAAGTGAAGGAAATTCCCTGACAGTTTGTTGCCATCCAAACCACATAAAAAACAGCCGCTCAATAAATATTTAACTATCAAGAGGAGAACTGAGGGTAGAAGTATGTGGAAATTAAATATTTGTTATACAGTGTCCACGATAATTATGCCTACGTATGCCGAAAAAGAAGTGCCAGCAGAGCAGGCAGCACTGAGGGAAAATTCCGCACACAGGGACGAGTATGTGTAAATGTTATGTTATGCTTTTATAACTAAATTTTCGTAAACCGTAACGTGCTTAAATGTTGAAAATTGAAATTTTAATGCAGCAACCCTAGGCGCAGGGTGGGGCGAGTAGGGGGGTGCGTGGCAATGGCATATCCCAAACTATTTGCGGCCATGCTCTGCGGTCAGATTGTGGCTAACCATGTTACGCCCTGATCCTGTTCCCCCGAGCTGTCTGCACCCATATACCCGCTTTGGAGGTCTCCTAGTCTGGTCGGTAGAGGAGAGTGTGGTATACTGTGGGGTAACGCATAAGTTTGTGGTCGTATTGCCGCGCTCTTCTTGCGTTTCATTTTGCATAAGTTCTAAAGTACACATCATATATAATTAAAATCGTAAAACGGTCAATTTTCCCCAAAACGTTGGAGAGCGACGACAAGGATACGGGATGCTCCTGCGTACAGCCTTCCGTTCCCACACAGCTACCATCTGTGTAATGGGTTTAGCATTTTTGGGCTTTCGTGTACAAATTGAAACTTTATGTTTGTTTGCCTTGGCCACGAGCCATCCAGGCAACCCACCAATCCAGGCCAGTCCAGGCCGTGTGCGGTGAGGCGTTCTATTAAATTAGTTTACTAGATTTTTGGTTCCGCTCTGCAGGGATTGCTGCTGCAATTTAAAATTTAAGCCGTTTTCAGGGAATGCAAACACTCCAAAAATGTCAGAGATCATCTGCCATTAAAGTGGAGTTTTTTTCACACTTTTCGAATTATTAATTATATTTCTCCCCACAGTAGTTTCATGCCTAAAAAATATACAATTTAATTTTATATATTCAAAGATAGAATTCAAATTTCCAAGATAAACCTCATCGTATTGCTTTTGCTTAAAAATATTAATGTTGGTCCTGCTTAGGCACACTCGATATAATTACATTTTATGGCCATTATATTTGGCAATTTTCAAGCGGAATATATGGCTCCGGGCCATTTGAGCCATAAACCAGTGGCCAGGGCCACATGCTCCAATAATAATAATGTGAGAAAGAGGGAGAAAGAAAACAAAATCAAATATATCAGACTGTGACTGATGTAAATTTATGCCTAGACCCGGTCTAATTTTTAGCCAGGCATTTACAATTTTCCCCCCAGCACAACTCGCCCCCCTTCCTCGATTTACATGCCGCAACAGCAATTCGGTCTAGCACACAACACTTACCATACAAAGCCCAAAAAAAAAGGTCGGGAAAAACCACTGTAAAGCTGAATGAAAACATACCGAAAAAACACGCCCCCACACACCCACAATTCATTTTGAAAATGAATTTGTTCCGCTGTAACGGCCATAAATGCATTTAAATTTATTGGAAGCCAGCGCCAGGGCAGGAATAAAAACAAAGCCAACAAAAAAGAGAGAGGACTCTCTCGCACATTGAATGACAATAAATTATCAATTTTATTTTGACAGCGCGAAAAATCCCGCAACGAAAAACGAAAGACGAACACACACAAAATGTCAAACGAAATTGAGCAAAATATGTAGATTTGTGTATGTTCAGCGGAGCATTTACATACATATGTACATACATATTTACTCGTACTCGTAATAATGATTGCAGATGCGAGCATTTCTGACAGGAAGTTTCAGTTCAATGGTTTGTTCCAGCGGGCGATTACAAATTGCCTGTTACAATTTCTATGATACTCGTGTACATAATATGTATGTACATATGTAAAATATAAACTTGTCTGCTGCTCAATCATTAATTGACATTTTTGGGAAGTTAATATATCAATAAAAAGACAAATAATAAATGTTTCCCATATAAATTAATTGGCTTAAAAATAGTATCCGACTCTCATTCAGGAATTCTAAATCCTTAACAGCTATGCCCCCCTCACAAAGTTAGATATATTTACACTGCCAAAAGAACTATCCACAAACTGAAATTTTCCTGCAAAAATCTTTGAATTGTTTCCCACTTCATCTTTCATTTTTCACCCCAGTGTAGCTAATTTAGTTGCACTTCATTGCGCCAGTCCAAAACTTAACTGTTCATCCGTTGACTTTTATTACAGACATTCCATCTTCATCAATCCGTGCGAACTCGCTGACTGAAAACGTGGACGTGGCCTTCTACTGTCCGGGCGAGGGACTGTTTGCCGACGACTATGACTGTCGCATCTACTACCGCTGTGAGCAGCGCTCGGAACAGTATATCCGCCCGTATATGTTGGCCTGTAAGGAGAACACGGTCTTCTCGCGCACCCTTCGCATGTGCCTGCCTCCATCGATGGCCGGGAGGGACGAGTGCGTGGACCAAATGAATGAAATTGACGGGAGCATGGGGGGTCTGGGTGACGGCTCTGATGGGTATGATGGACTCGTCACTGATGGCCAGCATGATGACCATAATGCGCTGCTTAACGCTGCCGTCACACCAGCCGCCAATGAGCTGCGCACCTATGCGACGGCAAATCAGTTGCCCACAAATTATGGCCTGACAGGACTCAATGGTGTATCGGTCATATCCTTCTCGAGTTCCAGCTCATCATCTTTACGCGCCGCGCTATCGGGGGAGGAGGGTGCCGATGAGGTGGTGTGTCGGGATGATGGATTTATGAGTGATCCCAGTGACTGCACCGTGTTTTATCGCTGCATCTCGAATGGCAGGGGCTATAATAAAATCGGTTTTCGCTGCTCGGACGGCACAGCCTGGGACGAGTCGCTGCAGTCGTGCAACCACATGTTTGATGTACGTGCTAATGGCGGGTGCCGCAATCAGGCCCAGACTGAGCCCCAGAACGATGGCTATTATGCAGGCCAAACATCAACACAGTCATCACAGTCCAGCAGCCACCAGAACTCCACGTCGTCCAGCACCCAGCAGTCCAGCTCATCGACATCCTCCAGCTCCTCCTCCTCCTCGCAAAATTCATCCACATCAAGCTCTAGCACAAGCTCCAACCAGGAGTCGTCCACTTCGAGCAGCAATCAGCAATCCTCGAATCAAAGCTCAGGAAACAACCAATCCAACGAAAGCTCTAGCAACAATCAGAACCAAAGCTCAGGCGGTAGTCAAACTAGCCAAAGCTCAGGAAATAACAGCAATGAAAGCTCGAACAATACTCAAAGTTCTGGCAGCAATCAAAGCTCAAACAATAATCAAAGCTCTGGTTCTCAATCCTCCAACAATAATCAAAGTTCTGGTTCTCAATCCTCCAGCAATAATCAAAGTTCTGGCAGTAATCAAGGCTCCTCCAGTGGCTCCAACAGCACATCCAACAAACCTGAAACAACTGAATGTGAGAATGAAATGACCTACATACCGGACAAAAAGGATTGCGCCAAGTTCTACAGATGTCGCCTAGATGTTGATAACAAACTGGAGCAGGTGCCATTCACATGCGGACCCGGAACTGTGTGGAACCAAAAGGACAAAGTCTGCGATCTGCCCACGGAAGACCAAAAGAAGGAATGTAATATACAATCGGGATCTAGCAGTGGCCAACAATCAAGTGGCAGCAATCAAGGTTCCTCATCGAGCGGCAATCAATCGGCGGCCAATTCCAGCTCCTCCTCCAACTCCAACTCTAGCAATAATAATCAATCAGGCAGCAGTCAGGAGAGCACCACCACGTCGGGCAGCAGTCAGCAATCTTCCAGCAATCAGGGCTCATCTAGCAATCAATCTGGCAATCAAGGTTCGTCCAGCAATCAAGGTTCATCTAGCAATCAAGGTTCATCCAGTAACCAAGGCTCCTCGAGCAACCAAGGTTCTTCCAGCAACCAAGGCTCATCCAACAATCAAGGCTCATCAAACAATCAAGGTTCATCCAGTAACCAAGGCTCATCTAGCAACCAAGGCTCATCTAGCAACCAAGGTTCATCCAGTAACCAAGGTTCATCCAGTAACCAAGGTTCATCTAGCAACCAAGGCTCATCCAGTAACCAAGGTTCATCCAGCAACCAAGGCTCATCCGGCAATCAGGAATCATCAACCTCGTCAACCTCTAACAATCAGCAGAGCTCGACATCGTCTTCGAACCAAGGATCGTCATCATCAAACCAAGGATCTTCGTCATCTTCAAACCAGAGCTCTTCTTCATCCACAGAATCCAGCACTCAGGGATCATCCTCTAATCAGAGCTCTTCAGAGTCATCCTCGTCTAACCAAGGCGCTTCCTCATCCAACCAAGGAAATTCATCAACAACAACTCAGAAACCTTTCAAACCCGCAGAAAAGTGCGAAAGTGAGGAAACTTTCCTTGCGGACAAAGAAAATTGTGCGAAATTCTATCGGTGCGTGGACAATGGCAAGGGAGGATTCACAATGGTTTCGTTCACCTGTCCGCCCAACACACTCTGGGACCCAGAGGCCAACAGCTGCAACCATCCCGATCAAATTCAAAGCCAGCCGTTGAAATGCAAAAAAGTCACATCCTCCTCCTCATCATCCAACAGTACAAGTTCTTCCTCCTCTTCAACAACTGGAGGGGGTTCGTCGTCCAACCAAGGCTCGTCCTCTAACACTGGCTCCTCTTCCAACCAGGGATCATCCTCAAACAGTGGTTCCTCGTCCAACCAGGGATCATCATCAAACAGTGGTTCCTCATCGAACCAGGGATCATCCTCTAACACTGGTTCCTCGTCCAACCAGGGATCATCCTCAAACAGTGGCTCCACGTCCAACCAGGGATCGTCATCAACCTCTTCATCCACCAGCAATAATAACAATACGCAGGGCTCATCTTCATCTTCATCGTCCTCAAGTGGTTCTTCATCTAGTGCGACTACCAGTCCTACCCCAGCAAATCCCTCAGAGCCATGCAAGCAAAATGGACAGTTTATTGGGGATAAGACAAACTGTGCCAAGTTCTATCGGTGTGTAGATAACGACAGAGGTGGCTTCACCATGATTCCCTTCACGTGCGGTCCTGGCACAGTGTGGGATGCTGACATACAGAGCTGTAACCATGCTTGGGCAGTGAAGGGCTGCGGTGGCGCCGCTACGTCTTCGTCGACACATAAGCCAGGCACAGGTCCGATTACAAGCTCAACTTCTACAGCCCGACCTTCGACACCACGACCAACATCAAGCCAAACTGGTACCACATCGCGTCCTACGACATCACGTCCTACCACATCCCGACCTACCACATCGAGACCCACATCCCAACCATCTTCATCCTCATCCACCGCTCGACCCACTCCAACAAGTTCCCCCAACACCGATGGACAGTGCAGAGCCGAAGGATTCATGGCCGATCCCAACAACTGTTCCAAGTTCTACCGCTGTGTCAGCAATGGCAAAGGTGGCTTCACCCAGATTCCATTCCAATGTGGAGCTGGAACTGTGTGGGACCAGGACCTTCAGACATGCAACCACAACTTCAACAATTGCAACACCAGCACCGCCACAGAAGTTCAAGAGAAGCCACCGTGTGAGACGACGACAAACAATGGAACGACGACTGTAACATCGACGCCATCGACGACCACAATGAGCACAACAACTCCCTCCACGACCATCACAACAACAGCTCTACCCACCACAACGGAACAGACAACAACGAGTATGTCCCCGCCCAGCACTACCACAGAAGTGCCCAGCACAACCATGACATCAACAACCGGATCGGGATCGACTGGCAGCACAGAAAACAGCGAACCTGTCACCACCACGATGACGCCGTCAACAACCACAATGAAGCCACTGCCAGCTGGCACGGAATGTGAGGGCGAGGGTTATATGGCTGATCCCGAGGATTGCCGAAAGTACTACCGATGCATAAGCGCTGGAAACTCCTACAGAAGGTACAACTTCACATGTCCCAAGGGTACGGGATGGAACGAAGATGTCCAGACATGTGACTACATGGAGAATATTCCGAGGTGCGCGAATCTGCCATCGACCACAACGGAGCCACCAACCACCACGACCACGATCTATACATCCACTACACAATCTGAGACGGAGAGTACGGTGACTGAGAGCGCTAAGGAACCAGAGACCACACCCACAAAGCCAGAAGGTCCCACAACCACTCAAGAGCCCACCACAAAACCGACACCAGAAACAACAACAGCAACTGATAAACCCACCTCAAAGCCGACACCTGAACCGGAAACATCAACAGTAACTGATAAACCCACCTCAAAGCCAACACCTGAACCAGAAACAACAACTATAATAGCCGAAAAACCCACCACAAAGCCGACACCTGAACCAGAAACAACAACAATGGGAGCCGAAAAACCCACCACAAAGCCGACACCAGAACCAAGCACAGAAACAACAAATGTTCCGACTACAACAACGAGTCCAGGGTATACACCCACCACATCCCCAAGCATCGATACAACTACCATGACCCAAGAAACTACCACAACGGACAATCCAGCATCAACTACCAATATGCCAGAGCCAGCACCGAACTACAACTGCACCGCCGAGGGCTTCTTCGCGGACCCCGAAGACTGCAGCCACTACTACCGCTGCGTGGATGGCAGCAAAAATGGCAACTATCAGGTGTACAGCTTCAAGTGCCCCAAGGGCACAGTGTGGGATACGTCCGCAGAGACGTGCAACTACGCGGATCAGGTATCGGGAAATTGCTCCAGCTCTACAACAGGATCCCCCACAACTACTGGCAGACCGACTGAAACAACAGAAAACCCTGGAGAGACCACGGAAACGAGCACTGCACGACCCACCGAGCCAACGACACAAACTCCAAGGCCAGAAACCACAACGTCCAGCACCCCGGTGGACACAACAACAACTGATGCTCCCATTGATACCACAACAACTTCATCTGCGCCACCAACCAGTTCGAATGGCACTGAGCCATGCCCGTCCACAGGGCCGGGACAGGACGTGTACGTTTGCCCCACCGGCTTCCGACGCCATCCGCAGAACTGCGGCATGTTCTATCAGTGCAGCGAGAACGCGGACAGCAACGACCTAAACATTGTTGTGTTCCAGTGCCCCAATGGCACAGTGTACCAGGACAAGTCATGCAGCTGCGGCAAACCTGAGGCGGGAGACACGTGCAGCAAGGGTCAGAAGAGAACTCACCCTAACCTATTTGAAGATCAAACGCGTCGCCAAAATATGGTAAGTCGCTGACATACATACCTATACATACATAATTATATTCATATTTTAATATTTCGTTCTTCACTTACCGTCCGATTAGGTGCAAATCAGCTCCACATCTCCACTTTGTCCCGACGTGGGACACTTTGCCCTGAACGAGGATGAGTGCAGTCAGCTGTTCGTCAAGTGCGGCTACTCTGAGCAGACGGGCCGCATCGAAGGCCAAATTTACCGCTGCCCGCAGGGCTTTGCCTACTGGAATGTGAGTCGCCGCTGCGAGCCAGCCAGGAAGCTGATGAATTGCACGCCCACCACGTACAATGTGGCCGGCAACGTGCCGCTGGAGTGGCTTAACATTGGCAATCGTCGCCGCAGTCTCCGTATTTAAGTAGCACTAGTTTAGTTTTTCGCGAAAGATCCGAATTTGTTTGCTGCGCCAGCGACCGCGTTTTACTATATGTTCAAGCAGTGCAAACTGCGCAGCTGGCGCAGCAAGTGATGGGATCGGATAGAACCGTTAGGTTAAGTCGTAGGAAAATTACAATACATTAAGCTGGGATTAATACAAAAAGTCTGGTGTCGGTATAGTGAGTGATAGGCGAAATCACAGAGTTGTGAATTTACACTTACATTTTTGTAGGCCTTTAAGCATTTCAATAAAATATTTTTTTTAGTTTTCCTCCTAAAGTTGAAAATATGTTCAGAAAGCCATATAAATATACATGCATAAGAGTAAGCAACGCTTAAAATTAATAATAAATTTAAAAGTACATACATTAAAAGAAAATTATTGCAATTTAAATTGTTTTCTTCAATATAATTATTGGGCGCCAATAGCAACACTCAATAGATAGCTATCGCACATCTCTAGAAGTTCTATGGAAGCCTATCGTACACAAGTACTGATATTTTTGTCAAGCAATATGGGCATGGAAATCTGATACCCCTGATGTGTTTGACATGCCAGGCTCAAATCAAATCCAGCAGATATAAGAATATGGATGAAAATCAGGATATTTATACAGAACACATATTTGAATAGGTCTAAAAGTCATTCTTAATGTTTGAAAGCAGCTTGTAACACTGAACGTTTTCATAATTTATATGAAATAGAGTATACAAACTTCATACTGGTTTGTAAAGCTTCAAGTGCACAAATGAACTGACATTTCATGTCCATTCATGTTTCGTTTGACGTTTGCTTTCGTTTTTGCTTTTAACTTTGTTCGACGTTTTCGGTCAAGAGGGACTGCTAAAACTAACCAATCCTTTTAAAATGTATTAATCTATTACGTCAAATTACGTACTTAGTGCTGAATATCCTAGATAATTGGTAATATTAAACAGAACATCAGAACTGAGGAAATCGATTTCCAGACATGGATATTGTTGCGATTTTGTGTCATCGGTATATTTGCAGTATATTTTGAAATTGAGAAGGTATATAAAGGGTATATTCCTGCAGGTCAGGCAGTATATTTGTTAGATAAGTCCGCGGTCACACTGCTTACACTGCTTAGTTTCGTAAACAATTAAAATGTCGCAAACAAAATAGAAAAAATAGGCAACCAAAATAGCAAAATACTCGGCCAAGCATGGAGGTGTTCCAGACTGATTCGCACTATATATTCGTGAAGCGCGACAAGAGTTTGTGGTGGAATCGCAAGACGTCGGAGTTTGCAATCAAAGCGGGTAATGTGATAAAACAAAAACAAAAGACGCAGATGAATAAGTGCTTAAAGTCATTGAACGAATTATGCATTCATTGTTTCATTAACAAGTGCAAATAATGAATTGAAAGCCAGTTAAAGTGGAAAATGCTGACTGGCCGTATGAGTTGTGTTGAGTAAGCAGTGCAGCTGCCTTGTGTCCCGTTGTTCGCTTATCGATGTGAGCAATGGAATGCTCCACATTTTGCTCAATGTCAAGGCTGTTGTGGGGCTGGATGACTCCGTGCACACTCGAGAGGATTCATGGTCGGATGTTTGAGTGGATGATTAAACACGCAAACGGTTCCTGTAATCCGATTATACTACATATACGGTGCTCCTACATGCACATATTCGAGATGCTATTATCTCGTTTATGCCGCTAATGGGTTCGCCGTTTCTAACGCTTTATATTTATCATCCGCTCACTGCGTTCTATTAATACGTTTTCTCCACAATCTTCATCAGAATCGGTGTCTGCCCCTGCCTGTGGCTGCGTCAAGGTTGGGGGCAAACCCACGCCCAACCACTGGCACAGTGCAACCTTTTCATTGGCAGCTTTTCGATGGTTGTTGCGTCTATTAATACCCTATAGAAAATCCATTCAGAACAGTCAATAATGTCAGTGCGAGTGCCGTCGACAGGACTATTCCCCGCTAATTGCTTGTTTATGGTGCAGTAATTACACTTGGATCCATTCCGCTGGCACGCAACTGTCGCGCTCTCTGGTGCCGCGTGCGTGTCGCCTTTAATGCCCGTTTTGATTACACTTCCCAGTGCTTGCAGCAGTTCCTTTGTGTCCTGTCTGTTGGTTTTGTGGATCCCCTACACACAATCCATAAATCCTTGTCAAGGTCAACAGTCTGCGGCCAACAGTCAGTTTTCGTTTGTTTTCCCAAAAATGTTTTGTGGTCTGCCGGCTGCCTTCCCCTTTCAACGAACTTGACATAATTTATTATAGTCCCCAACTATCTTTTGCTATTGATTTTTGGGCTGCCGCAAAAAGTTTTCAAGCTCTCCCAAATTTGTTTCTATTCAGACAATGTCCGGTCATATCTCTGTGTCTGAAAACAAGATAAACCTTAGCCAGAAGATAAGATAGAAGAATTGTCGCACTTTGAGGGAAAGCCAGCAAATTTTAAAGCCCTGCCATAGAGAGGCACTCATCTACAGCACATGGATACCCAAGGATGCGAGTAGGTGACACATGTCAAGTGCACTTTCTCACACACTTTTTTCTCGCTGCTGTTTTTAGCTTGCAGAGTGGGTTGGATGGGCTGTACGAGTAATGAGCAGAGCAGTAGTAACCTCAAGGGTGGACAATGGAAACACGCAAATGTGTACACTCACGTAGCAGTCCCAACCACTTACGAGAGTTCCTTGGGTACGGATATTTACATTGTTCTTCCCTCGTTATTAGTTATTTGCGTGCCACTGTACATGGACAGCAGAAGATTGTCGCACACACAATGAGGGGGCGTAAACGGGGCCCACAGCTAATCAAATATCAATAAAAACTAACGAGCATAAATCGGTCATTGCCATTAGACAGCGACAATTAGATGTAGCTTATTGTTGACACTTAAATTACAAAAGAGGACTCTCTGTCCCCTTTCCCCTTTCTCCTTGTAGGATGGGATCTTAGCTCTGTGGATGATATTGAATGCATTGGAGTCACGCATGGAATTGTGGGCGTCATCTCGCTGCCCAATGTCTACGATCCGCACTTGGTCGTCATCAAGGAGGCGACTGCCGTGGGTGTGCTCTATCCTCCGCATTTGGTGTACAAAATCAAGTCGATCTGCATACTGAGTGCGGAGGAGCCAGACGCTGAGTTGTCCAACTGTACGAAGCATACTAAGTAAGTCCAGAAACCTAATCCACACGCTCGTGCATCTAGTATTCATTTATAATTTGCAGAAGCAACCAGTCTACGCCCACTCACAGTAGCGCTTCAACAGCAGCACAGAATAACAATGCAAGCGCCACGTCGGCTGCTGGGGGCACAGGTACCGGCTCCGGCTCATCGAAGAGCACCAAGCTCTTTGAAGGCATGAATAAAACCTGGGGCGCTGTGAAGAGTGCTGGGAACACCATCAAAAACACCACACAGCAGGCAGCAAACATGGCCACCAAGCAGGTCAAGTCCACAGTGGGCATACGGGAGCCGAAGCACATCGAGCGACGGATTACCGAGGAGCTGCATAAGATATTCGATGACACGGATAGTTTCTACTTCAGTTTCGATTGCGATATTACCAACAATCTACAGCGCCATGAAGCCAAAGTGGAGGAGAGTCAACCGCAGCTCGATGAGCGTTTCTTCTGGAACATGCACATGATTCAGGATATACTCAAAATGAATGTAGGGCAGCTTAAAGACATATTTAAGAATGTATCTCATAGAATTTACTCTTTCCCTTAGGATAAAACATGGATACTGCCCATCATTCAGGGATTTGTGCAGGTAGAGCCGTGTGTAATTGGGAATGAATGCTTCACATTGGCCTTGGTTTCGCGACGCTCACGTCATCGAGCGGGCACACGGTAATAACCATTCAAACGCTCAATCAAAAACAACTGATAACTAATGTATTCCCCCTTTATCCTCTACAGCTACAAGCGACGCGGTGTGGATGAGAAGGGAAACTGTGCCAATTATGTGGAGACCGAGCAAATACTCTCCTTTCGCCACCATCAATTGTCGTTTACGCAGGTGCGCGGTTCCGTACCCATTTATTGGAGTCAACCTGGCTACAAGTATCGCCCACCGGCGCGTCTTGATCGTGGTGTGGCCGAAACACAGCAAGCATTTGAGCTGCATTTCACCAAAGAGCTGGAGACCTATGGCCGAGTGTGCATTGTGAATTTGGTGGAGCAAAGTGGCAAGGAGAAGCTCATTGGAGATGCTTATGCCGATCACGTGATTAAATACAACAACGAGCTCATGATCTATGTGACCTTTGACTTTCACGATTACTGGTAAGAGAACATGTTTGAAGTTGCCTTAAACACTTACTAACGCGCACCTTTTGTTGTTCTGGCAGCCGCGGCATGCGCTTTGAGAATGTCTCGGCCCTGATTGATGCCGTCGGACCTGAGGCTGGCGCCATGGGCTTCCACTGGCGTGATCAGCGCGGCATGATTTGCAATCAGAAGTCTGTGTTTCGTGTGAACTGCATGGATTGCTTGGATCGCACGAATGTGGTGCAAACGGCCATTGGCAAGGCAGTGTTGGAGTCGCAGCTCGTCAAGTTGGGCCTCTCGCCGCCCTACACGCCCATACCCGAGCAGCTCAAGTCACCGTTCATGGTTCTGTGGGCAAACAATGGAGACATTATAAGCAGACAATATGCAGGCACTAATGCCTTGAAGGTATGCATTGATTTGAAAACCACAGAATATATACATTTCAATGCGTTTTTTGGTATGCTTCACAGGGGGACTACACACGGACTGGGGAGCGTAAAATCAGCGGCATGATGAAGGACGGCATGAACTCGGCCAATCGGTGCGTACACAACTCAAATTAAAGCATTATTTTTGTAATTTTTGTTGCTGCCCTTATCTATTACCATTCATCCCCACCCATTACCGTTTTGAACTTGATACCCAATTAAGCCATTTGTGTGTTTTAATGCGAATTGAAGTTGAAATTGAGTCTTGGCCATCAGTATAAATTCGTTGCCCATTTTCGGCA